TCTCACCACGCTAAAACGGTTAATGTGGCTCTTAATGAGACATGCCGAGTATCTACAGAGATATTCACAGGAACAAAAGTGGCAGGCTAAAACCCAGCACCTCAACCCATGGCTGATACCGAATGAGAGACACTCCCCTCGGCACACAGAAGATTGGGTGACTTGGAAGGTGCTGAACAGACTGCACTCTGGCACCACAAGATACAGAGCCAACCTTAAGAAATTGGGCCATGAACTGGAGTCCACGACATGCGAGTGTGGAGAAGAGCAAACCACAGACCACCTATTACAATGCAGTCTGATCCCTGCCACATGCACAATGGAGGACTTTCTTGTAGCAACACCAGAGGCACTCCAAGTGGCCAGCAACTGGTCAAAGGACATTTAGTATAATGCCAAGTTTTAAAAACTTTATGTTTTTAAGATACATTACAACTGTAATCTCGGTTCACTTCTGATATGATAAATAAATAAATCACTAGTGAAAAACTGGCAGCAAAACTAAGGACAAAAAGTTGTTTTCTCAGGACCCTTCCACACAGCCATATAACCCTGAATATCAAGGCAGAATAACTCACAATATCTGCTTTGAACTGGAATATCTGAATCCACACTGCCATATATCCCAGTTCAAAGCAGATAATGTGATATTTTATTCAGCTGTGTGGAAAGGGCCTTATTTGTACAACACTAAGAAATAGAGAAGACACTTTACATGGCTCCCTTCTCCTTATTAATCCTATAGCAACCCTTGAATGTTGGTTTGCTGAGAGATTAAAGTGGCTCAAGGTCACAAAGTACTTTTCATACCAACAGAAATTAGAATTTGGAACTCCCTGTTCCAAACTCAGCACATGAATATTAGGGAGTCCTTCCTGAGGACAAGCGCTGTTCGACAGTGGAATGTGCTGCTGCCTCAGAGTGTGGTGGAGTGTCCTTCTACGGAGGTTTTTAAGCAGAGGTTGGATGTCCATCTGTCAGGAGTGCTTTGATTGTGTGTTCCTGTATGGCAGAAGGGGGTTGGACTAGATGGTCCTTGTGGTCTCTGTCATCTCTATGATTCTATGACTTGAGATATTACTCTAAACTGACTCTCCTTCGAATCATCCTTAACTGTAAAAAAAAATGGTATGACAGTTGAAGTATAATGAGAAAAGAAGAAGAAAAAATCTTAAAAATCAATGTGCTGAATTTGAATTATTAGAATGCAAATTAGATTGATTTGCATAATTAGAAGAGGAATCTGGCAACTGTACAGAAGGCATGCTTGAATCCAACCTAATATGCTTGTTTTAGCAGAGGTTGAACCCATGGTAGGGCTGCTCACTATAGGTCAAAGGGTCGCTGTATCGTTTATTACATTTTTAGTATGTAATTGTATTCTCTGCTCTCAGACATCAACATCTATTTCAGTGGGATAAAAGAATTTAAATCACATGCACTCCTTCCATTTCTCATTCTATCCACACAAGAACTCAGAGAAAACTATTTTCCACATTAGAAACAACAGGAAAAATTATGTGTGACCACTCAAATTTCCAGTCACTGCCTCTTCTTGTAAGCTTCAATATCTTCTATTTTAAGAGCTTTCTTCCATTTGGCTCTTTTATCAATGAAGCCACAACTGAAGAGGCTTTTCCAATCGACACTTGTGCTTTTCGGGTCTGAAATGACTTTTCTTTTCAAAAGTGCAAAATGTCTAAACAGAATGTCATCCTGTATAGAGCTACAGATTGCTTGTTTATCGTTTTTCCTGTACTGGCATCAGCGCAAGCCATTTACTCAGGGGCTGACACTGTCATCCTATTTGCTCTTTAATGCATCCTGTTGGTTTCAGCAAAACTTCCTTTAAATAAACGGAGGCTTGTTGTTTCCTGAACACACAATTCACTGAACACAGTGATATTTTATTCTGAGTAAACATGAATGAGACTGTGCTGCTATCTTGTTGTTCTTACTAATTCTGCTGTGTTACTCCCATACTTTTTTGAATAAAAGCACAATATACGGTAGTTCAAAAAGATTTCTGAATTGGACTGGGTGTCATCAGGAGCAGTTTCTGCATCTTAAAATAATCTGTTCGAGCCTCATAGTTGTACATTTGACAAATCTTTCCATTTATTTGGTTTGCTTTTTCGTTATTTCATCCCTTTTATTTTTAAAAAATCTATTCTTAGTTACTAGCACATTCTGGCTTTTAATTTATATACATTTCATAGATCTGAATTTCTCAACCCATTTCCACTCATGATGACATTTTTCCATGACCCCAGGTATATAGGTATATAAAACAGATATAAAAAGCAAACATTTACTGATAATAAATCAGCATTTTCAATTATTGTCAAACAGGCCAATTTTCCTTTTTGTGGAGTACAGCTGTAAACTGTCAACTGTAAACTCTGCACGTTGTTGCTAACAGATTTGTGTAAATTGGTGGCGTTCAGAAACCTTTTACTGTTGCCAGTTTTGTGACACAACATTGATCTGGAGGGAGCGTATTTGGGGTCAGGACCCACAGTGAAAGAGGCAGTGTTAAATAATGGATAACGGCATAGGATTTGGGGGGGGGGGGAATACCCAACAGTGCTTAAGGCACATAGAAAATATGAAACCAAGGTGTTCTCTTGAATCTTGCATTTCTCTCTCTACCTCCTTAGCTCATGAAAACATGTAGACCGCTGACTGTTCACTGCTGAATGATTACTAGCACTTGAAACAAAGCTATCCGTCATTTTCAGAATATTTCTTTATCTCACAGCAGTGTTCTTTCTGGTAATCAGGCTTAACTTAAAAGTGGCAAAATCCAACCATATCTTTTGGAATAACGTCAGTTATGCTTTTAAAAATGCACATGGGTTTTTGGAGGAATATTTACATTGTAGTCTTTCATTCCACTGTGCAGAGATAAAAGAACACAATAAATGAGGATATCATGGTTCTAACACAGGCATGGGCAAACTTCGGCCCTCCAGGTGTTTTGGATTTCAACTACCACAATTCCTAACAGCTGGTAAGCTGGCTGGGATTTCTGGGAGTTGGAGTTCAAAACACCTGGAGGGTCGAGGTTTGCCCAAGCCTGTTCTAAAGTGTCCCCTTGTTAGGTTTCCAAGATGTGACCATGCTCTCTTCAAAGGGTGGTCCAAACAAAGCAATTTGTTGCAGTGTGAATAAAGGATAGGCTTCAGTGGTCTTCCTTCCCCTTATCCTCTGGCACGCTTAGTTGCTAAGGAGGCTTCTTTTGTTCTTAAGTCAACTCTTTCAATGACATCTGAACTGGAAACTGGCTCAAGAACTGTCGACAAACTGACAGCTGTTCTTTGGACAACACGCTAAAACCTTTCTTTTCAGACAGACCTTTGAAGAAGGAAGTTTTTAAGATCATACCAGAGCATGCTGTGTAGTGTTTTATGTATTTTAATAGGTTTTTAATGGTTTTAACTTTTTATTTGTAATAGTTCCCTGTTTAATTCTGTTTTAGTGTTTCTGTCTTGCAGGTTTTAAATTGTACATTGTATTGTTTTTAGTACTATTAATCACTTTGAGTCTCTTTTAAGAAAGAAAGTATGGGATATAAATAACAACAGCAACAACAACAACAACAACAACAATACAAACCAGCATTACAAAGTAGATCATTTGAACTCCAGCTCACTCTATCAAACTATTTTACATAATCAGATTTTAACAAATCATAATCAACTAGTGAAAACAGCATAGCCCTTGAAGCCAAACACATGGAATAGTCACCACTGAACACACTCAACCAAAGATCATTTATGTCCCGGTGCTGAAGAAAACCTAGAATGTTCTAGGTATTAGGGCTGCAATCCTCTATATCAGGCCTGCACACCCCGTGGCCATCCAAGTGTTTGGGATTCCAACCCCCAGAAGTCTTAGCCAGCTTGTCTAATGGCCAGGAATTCTAGGAATTGATCCAAAACACCTGGAAGGCCACAGGATGTGCAGCCCTGTTCTATACCCTCACCTGCTGGTACGTTTTACTGACTGTGTGGCCTACTTCTGAATATATCTGCATAAAATTACAGGTTTAGTCATAATAAGTATTCCTGCTTAATATCCTTGCATCCATATGACATTAAACAGAAGTGCTGTGTGTCACAACTGTCCCTAATTTATATTTACTTAGAATAAAAAAGGCATGAAATGCATTGTAAAAGGTTTTGGATGATGCTCCTCAAGGATGATAAAGAACTAGTTTAACTACAAACCAAGATTTACACTGTTGTAACCAGCAATGTGTTTGTGTACCTATTAGGTAAATGTGTGATTTTATTTTTTAAAAAAACAGACATAATACTTATCTGAACCATTATTTAAATCATTCGCATTCTAAAGATTAACAAATACCAGCATCCAAGTGGTTTCTGGAGCAGCTCTGCTTCTACTCCATAAGCTTGAAACCGCATGTGTCATTCACATTTGTAATTGGAAGACAGGATACTGGGATACCAGGAATGACAACTGTGAGAGAACTGGATGGTATGGCGGGATTATAACTCCCCCAGCTCATATATTGGTCTAAATATGTGAATATCTCACATATAAATAAATAAACCCGTTCTGTGGAAAGATGTGGCTTAACAGTTGTATGGACAACTGTTTATGACTTTTAGTAAAAAAAAATGTTTTAAAATCCAGCATGAATTCATATAATTACAAAAATAAGAAATGGGAAATATTGCAACCATATAAAATATGAAGATGTTTACTGCATACCATATTTCTGGTGATCCAACTTCTTGAATATTTTGCATATTATTTCAGACAAGGCATTTTACAAAGAGACAGCTCTCTCAGCTGCGCAAACAGTTTCTGACTATTTAATCCCACAGAGCTAGGCAGAGACAACTATGCATTGTGTTCAGGAAAAAGACAACCGATTTTGTTCCTAGTAAATGAAATTGCAATCTCAGAAGGCTCCAATATCAAAATATTTTGCCAAGTCCTTAAAGGAACATGCCATCAGGTTTGATTACCTTGATATAACTTTTAACTCTTGATCAACTTCCTGGAGCTTTAGCCAATATTCATTTGCTAGTTTGTCAAATTCTGTAAACACTGAAGCTTTCAAATCAGGATACGGACATTCCAAGGCCAATAATTGTGGTGGTAGCTCACGGATGAGCGCAACCTTGTCTTCTAAAGAATAAGCAAGTGCCTACAATAAATGAAATATTGTTGGTAAATATGGAAAAAAATCTATTTTAACATGATTTATTTTTCAGAATATTGAACTTACTTCATCTACAAATTCTTCAAGCTCCTGTTCCAAAGGTTCTCTCTCACAATGAAGCTTTTTCAAGATCAGTTGCTGTTGCTTCTTCACAAACTCTACCTAATTTTAGAAAATATTATTTTCAAGAGTTAAAAGATAGCTGCAGCTGGTGCTATCCAAATCTTGTAGGACATTATCCTTTACATTTATTTATTACATTATAACCCTGCCTCCCCTTCAGGGAGCTCAAGGAAACATAAACAAATCTCCACTGAGTAACACTACTTGATTAGTGACCATGCGCAGGTGACTTTAAGCCTGCTTTCAGTTCAGTGTTGTTGGATGAACAGGAGGATCTCAAATAGAGGTTAGGAGAAAATATTAACTCAAGCCTACTCACTCCTACTCCAACAGTCTAAGCCAGGGGTCCTCAAACTTTTCAAGATGAGGGCCAGTGCTCAGTCCCTTAGTTGGTTGGGGGGCGGGACTATAGTTTGGAAAAAAATGAATGCATTTCCTATGCACACTGCCCATATCTTATTTGTAGTGCAAAAAGAACAATGAAAAAACAGTACAATATTTAAATTAAAGAACAATTTTAACCAACATAAACTTAACAGTATTTCAATGGGAAGCTTTAGGCTGATGAGATAGCCAAATCAGTTAGGATTGTTGTTGTGTGCCTTCAAGTTATTTCAGACTTAGGGTGACCCTAAGTCTAAAGTTCACGGGGGGGGGGGGGCTAAATTACCTTGGAGGGCCGCATCCGGCTCACAGGCCTTAGTTTGGGGATCCCTGGTCTGAGGACCCTTCCACACTGCCTGTATCCTAGGATCTGATCCTAGATTATCTGCTTATTCCAGATCATCTGGCAGTGGAGACTCATATAATCCAGTGTAAAGCAGTTAATCTGGGATCAGATCCTAGGATATAGGGCAATGTGGAAGGGGCCTAAGCATTATACAACACTAGTTCTTCTGAATATCATGGTTCTTTTCAGTAAGTTGCTCTGACATGCTTGAGCAGTCATTTCTGAAGGGTGAAAAGACATCACAAATCCCCTAAATTTGTTCTCCCTGGGAACAAGCAGGATTTCTTCTTCTATTAATAGGACTTGTGGGGCAGAAAAGCAGAAGAGATATATCTGCATGTTCAATAGAACTCTGTGGATATTTTAAATAATAATAAATAAACACATTTTTGTTACCAGCCTCTCCTCAATTCTACCACATGAATGACATCATAAATCCATAATAGTTATGCAAGGGGGGCTGAAGACAATTTGTTTTGCTCTAATAGCCAGGAAAGAGGGAGAAGAAAACAGCACACAAAATGCCAAATAAGGCAGGACAAATGAGGCCTCCCAGTACTAAGGTTCAGGCCCCTTCTTCACTGCCCTATATCCCAGGATCTCATCCCAGATTATTTGCTTATCCCAGATGATATGGCAGTGGAGACTCATATAATCTAGTTCAAAGCAGATAATCTGGGATCAGATCCATAGGGCAGTGTAGAGCCAGCCTCAGATTCTCTGGATTTTTTTTAATATTTCAGTTTTTGATTCACACTGTTACAGTGTTAAATAACAACGTACAATCTGAAGCAGGCCCGTAGCCAGGATTTTGATTCGGGGGGGGGGGCTGAGTCTGAGTGAAAGAGGGTCTACCCTAGCAAACCTTTTGTATCGTTACCCCAATACCCCCATGCATATGAGATATATTGAGCATGGTGATCAGATCATGATATGAATAAACATAACAGTTAAATAATGTACCAGTAAGGCCTTTTCGCAGACCACCATGAGAATTTTGGGGGGGGGGGGCCCCCCCCAAGCCCCCAAGCCCCCCCCCCCGGCTACATGCCTGATCTGAAGTAATGAATAATTGCTGCTGTGATATGTTGTCAATTTAGCTGCGACCTATGATAACCCTGTGAATGAGAGATTTCCAAGAGACAAGATTCTTGTGTCTTGCAAACACAGGGTTCTGGCTTCCTTGACTGAATCTATCCACCTATCTTTCTCTCTCCCTACTGCTTTTGACTACCATTCATTATTATTTTTACAGTGTGTCATTTTGTCTCATAAGATGCCGAAAGTGTGATAGTCTTAGATAATTTGATTTCTAGTCAAAACCAGGGCCTGTACTCTATGATGCACTTTTTGTCCTTTTGTCAGAGCATGGTATCTTCAGAACCTTTCTTCAGCATCACTGTTCAAATGAGTTCTCTTCCTTTCAGCTTTCTTCATAGATTTGCTTTCAAATCCATATGTACATATCAGAAATACTATGGCCTGGATGATCCTGGTTTTGATCATCAGTATCTTTGCCCTTGAGTATATCATTGAGACCCTTCATAGCTGTCCTTTCAAGTCTTCCTCTTGAGTTTTTTTTTACTTCATTTTGGATGAGGATGACTAGATAACGATAAACTTGAAATCTAAAACATCATTATATTAAAAAGAATTCCCATTGCATCACTGGGGTGTGTGAACTGCACTAGGTGGCCCCATCAGAGAGAGTAACAGCAAATTGTCTATTAGAGATGACACATGCCTGGTGGCTGTAGTTCTCCTTATGTGCCCAGGAGAGGCTTGACTTCTGCTCCTGTTGCTGCTGCAAACCCTTTTCAGCCAGGTCTGCTGTGCAAAAGTACAGCCACCCACCAACACAAGGATATTAATAATGTTTTCATTGGTCTACCACTACAATTTCCCCCCTCGACCTCTGCCCAACCTGCTCAATACCCAAGAAAGTCACAGAAAAAAACTGGTAAGAGAAAATCCCCTTTTGACAGGTGGCTGATGACTCAACATGCTCCAAGAGAAGAAGCAAGTGAGAAGGTGCCAGGCAGACTATATTGCTCAACAGAACCTCTGTTAAAATAGATCCTCTGTTGCAATAGAAAGTGCATGGGTTCAGGGCAGCCTCACATTTTCCCTGGGCTACAATGCATAAATTCCCTCATAGTCATTTCTAGGGTGGGGGTTGCAGTGCAAACAATGCAATATGCCATTCAGAAAAGGTGAGAAGACTTTCCTGTTTGCAACAGCCTTTAACTCAGCACTCTATGGTCATATGGGGAGTTCTAAACTGATTTTAACTTTATTGTTGACTAGCTTGGGGACCCGGCGTTGCCCGGGTTATTAGAGAAAGTGGGTAATGGCGGTTCTGTATGCCAAGTTTGGTCTTTATTGGTCTTTGGATAATGGCTGCATTATTTTCAGGAAGTGAGTGAAGGTACTTGAAGTCCCATCATACATGGGCCATCCTCCTACAAACAGCAGCAGGATATAGAGTGGGTCATGGGGGCTCTGTGTGCCAAGTTTGGTCTTTATCAGTCATTAGATGAGGGTGGCAGTGGTGTGCAGTAAGTGAGTGAAGGTACTGCAAGTCCCATCACCCAAAGTCCATCCCCTTTCAAACTGCAGCAGGACGTAAAGTGGGTCATGGGGGCTCTGTGTGCCAAGTTTGGTCTTGATCAGTCATTGGATGAGGATCACAGCAGTCTCAGAACATGAGTTAAGGTACTGCAAGTCCCATAATCCATAGTCTCCCTCAAACATCACCAGAATGTTGAGTTGGCCATGGGGGCTCTCTGTGCCAAGTTTGGTCTTTCTTGGTATTTGGATGAGTGTCACTGTGGTTTCAGGAAGTGAGTGAAGGTACTGCAAGTCCCATCATCCATTGTCCGTCCTCCTCCAAACAGCACCAGGATGTAGAGTCGCTCATGGGGGCTCTGTGTGCCAAGTTTGGTCTTGATTGGTCATTAGATGAGGGTTGCAGCAGTCTTGGGAAGTGAGTGGAGGTACTTGAAATCCCATCATCCATAGTCTGTTCTCCCCAAACCTCACCAGAATGTTGAGTTGGCCATGGGGGCTCTGTGTGCCAAGTGTGGTCTTCATCAGTCATTGGATGAGGGTCTCAGTGGTTTCACTAAGTGGAAGGTACTGCAAGTCCCATCGTCCATGGTGCATCATCCTCCAAACCGTACCAGGATGTAGAGTGCATCATGGAGACCGGTGTGCCAAGTTTGGTCCTTATCGGAAATTGGATGATGTTTTGCAGTGGTCTCAGGAATTGAGCGAAGGTACTGCAAGTCCCAAAATCCATGCACGATCCACAGTCAAACCTCACCAGGGCATAAAGTGGGTCATGAGTCTCAGGAATTGAGCGAAGATACTGCAAGTCCCATAATCCATGCTCAATCCACAGTCAAACCACACCATGGGGTAAAGTGGGTCATGAGAGGTCTATGTGCCAAGTTTGGTGTTGTTCAGTCATTGTTGAGGGTCGCAGCAGTCTCGGAAAGCGAGTAGAGGTACTTCAAGTCCCATCATCCATGGTATGCCCTACTCCAAACCGCAGTAGGATGTAGAGTGGGTCATGGGGGCTCTGTGTGCCAAGTTTGGTTTTGTTTGGACATTAGATGAGGGTTGCAGCAGTCTTGGGAAGGGAGTGGAGGTACTTCAAATCCCATCATCCATGGTCTGTCCTCCTTGAAAGTGCACCAGGATGTAGAGTGGGTCATGGGGACTCTGTTTGCCAAGTTTGGTCTTGATCAGTCATTGGCGAGGGTTGCAGTGATCTCAGGAAGTGAGTGAAATGATTGCAAGTCCCATCATCCATTGCCAAATTCTTCCAAACCGCACCAGGATGTAGAGTGGGTCATGCAGGCTCTCAGTGTAAATTGTGGTCCTGATCCATCATTGTTGGCAGTTGTAATGGTCTTAGGAAGGGAGTTTAGGTATTGTAAGTCCCATCGTCCATGGTGCATCCTCCTTCAAACTGCACCTGGATGTAGAGTGCGTCATGGAGACTCAGTGTGCCAAGTTTGGTATTTATCGGTAATTGGATGAGGGTTGCAGTGGTCTGAAGAATTGAGCAATGGTACTGCAAGTCCCATAATCCACGGTCCATCCCCGGCCAAACCACACCAGGACGTAAAGTGGGTCATGAGAGGTCTATGTGCGAAGTTTGGTCCTGATCAGTCATTGGATGAGGTTAACAGAGGTCTCAGAATGTGAGTGATGGTACTGCAAGTCCCATCATCCATGGTTCATCCTCCTCCAAACTGCAGTAGGATGTAGAGTGGGTGATGGGGGCTCTGTGTGCCAAGTTTCGTCTGTATTGGGAGTGTTCTGACCCAGCCCCCGGCCTTTCCTTTCCTCTCTTTGTCATCTCGGAATGTTGGAAATGAGGCTGGCCAATCAGAGACCATATGCAAATTTCCTTCTGTCATGCCCCGTTTCTGCCATGAACCCTCTTCTCCACCAGGGGCTCCTATTGAAGCTGGCCAATCAGAGACCATATGCAAATAGCACCACAGCGGCAGCCAATCAGAACGCTGGCACATACACTTCCGCCCTCCCTCCGTCCTTCCTCTGTCCTATACAAACAAACACTCTTCTTTATTATATATACAGATAATATGGATGATGCTATGGAGCATTCATGGAACTTTTATTATTTCTTTCTAGCTTTGGTTTTATGTTATGATGTATATTTTAAGATGATGTGAGCTGCCTTGAGTCCACCTGGAGAAAGGTGGCATAGAAATCTATAAATAAATAAATAAATAAATAAATGTAAATCATGGATGCAAGGAATGGAGAAACCTTCCCACGCACTCCTTTGTTCAGATGTTTCCTCTGTCACCCTGCACTGCACCACCAATTTGATCTTCCTGAGAAACATGCTCTTTATTATAACTCTGGTGAGGAGCTGCCATAACACAGAAGGAATCAGGCAATATCAGCTCAGGTAACTGCCCTGAAGACATCTGATCTCATCTGATCTAGGGAACTAAGCAGCATCAGTCCTGGCAAGTACTTTGTATTCACCAACAAATACCAGGTGCTATGTTTCAGATGAAGGAACAAAATAAGTAAGCAGTTGACCACATGAAACTAAATGCACACAGAATGAGCCAATGGCTTCAACTGGTTGTTAGTGGGCAATCAGAAGTAACAAGATATTGAAGCATATTGGTATGTGTGCTCACAGCCTGGCATCCTTTGAAATGCCTGGTGTCTCAGATAGTGGATGCCATTGCCCTGTGACCAACACCCAAAAATATTCATCTTCAACTCTAGTTGATTTCTATGTAGAGAACCAGGGAGATGAAGGGAATTAGATTGTTGTTTGCTTTAAGAAGCATAATGACTTGGACTGCCCACAACACAGTGGTTCCAGGAGAGTAGATATCTACATAGTAGGACAAATGGAAAAGAGTATCCCTAGAGATGGTGTGGAGTTAGCAACCAGACTAACGTGTACCAGAGAAAAGCTAAATAACATGTTGACACAGCCACTAATTAGGGCTTATACAGAATGCACATATTTTCATATGCATGTGTCTTCTAAAAGGCTAAGTCGGCATATTAATAAATAATGAACAGCAAGGCAGATTAAGAATTGTAGAGTATAGAATCAGAAGCATTTCCCCTTCTGAAAAGCAATAAATTGGCTTTCAGATAAACAAACAACAGTTCATACATGTTGGTTGTAATCCTATCTCCTATCCCCACCTAAAATTAGCATTAACAAAAGCATACTTAGATACACATATGAATCCAATCCCCAAAGAAGTATTTGCTTTACATTTTCTAAAAACTTGCAAAGCTCATGAGAACAAAATACAGATTCAGGGCATAGATTTATTTAGATCTGAATCTTGGATAATTTTGTTTACATATTTGTCAGATGCAACATCTTTGAAAACAAGTAGCAAGAGACATAAACTACAGCAGGCGTGAAGAGCTTATGCCCCACCAGATATTTGCATCATTCCTAATAATTAGCCATGTTGGTTGGGACTGCTGGAAGCTGGAGTCCAGTAACTTCTGTGGGAATTTAGGTGACCCATCTCTAGGCTACCTAGGAAGAATATAAGAAGGCTTGTCCCAAATAACTTGAAAAATCTTCACTTTGCTTGCCCTTCTTGGACTGAGTTGCTGACATATCCCATTGACCTAGGACACAGGACTAGTCACAGTGTTGTCCCAAGCTGGGAAGGGAACGGTGATGAAGTCTACAGAACGACTAACCTCTTCTAATACTGCATCTGGATTAAGCTCATATTCTTGACATTCTTGGTTGGCCTGCATTTCCAACAGTCTGTATCGTAAATCTTCTCTTAACTGCCATACAGGCTGCACTGTATTTGCTTGAAACGTATCCAACTCCTTTGATAATTTATATCCTAGAAGGAGTTAAATACAAATTAGTAATGCCGGTAAGCAGAAGCAATAGTCAATTAATCACCAGACTCTGCCAATTAATAGATTACATTCTGCATTTCCAACGTAAGACATATTTTTCAGAAAAAGGAATTGCACATTAAATTAAAAGGTCGGTCTTCTCAGAAAATCAAAGGGAGTTAATATAGAGCTTCTACATAGGCACCGAAGAGAGAGAAAAGGAAAGGAAGGAATGTCAATAGAACTTAGGGAAGGCTCCTCACTCTGCTCATTATTTTCAGCTGTTCTACAAATTGGTTTATGAGTGGTCAGTGCTCCCTGAGGAAGCTTCAAGAAGTAACACATGAAATATGGAGCCTCCTTGGCCCACCCTTTCTATCAATTCCACGGCTAGGAACTCTGGATAACAGAACAGGCAAGCTGTATCAAGCTAGCTGTCTTCCACTTGTTTGTCATAGATGAAGGAACCACTTTTCCTTCTTCCCGTCTCCTCTCTACCCTGCATTTTGAATATTCAAAGTTGTTTCAGGAAACAGATGTGCAATTTTGCCAAGGCATGGGTGCACACAGTAGAGGCTACTACAAGCATACCTCAGTTAACAACACTTCTAACAAACAAGCCCCTTTTTAACAAAGTCTTTTTTTAACATGTCCAGTCCCTCCCATGCACACACACACACACAGCTTCCTATCCTTTGTCTATCCTTTGTTTTAACATCAACACTGGGAGGATGGTGAAGGAGGACTGGAGAGACCCAGACTCCCAGTGTCAGACTGCAGCAATGTAAACGATCCACAAAATCTCAGATGGAAAAGAATGGGATTGTACCTTAACTCACCTTATTGTAGCTGTGTGCCTGATGAAAAGAGTCAAAGTAAACAGCTGCGGCTTCCAAAATTCATTACTAAGCATGTGTGAACGTCAGAATAGAGAGCAAGAGGGAAGGGAGATTAGCCTCATCTGCTACCCCAAGCATGTTCAAAAAGCATAGATTGAGAGACCAAAAGGGAAATCATATAAAAACAGAGGGTAGTAAAAGAAGAAGCATTTCAGAAGAATCTTTCAGGTAATCTCCACAACAGTGGTTCTTTATCATAGTAAATATCTTAAAGCTAACTTTTTAAACATGTGGTATAAACACAGAGAACTGGGAACCCCTGGCCCTTGAGTTCTCTAACTGGAGATTGGCTGTTACCAACGGTGGATTTTGAAGAGGCACGGATAGAGGGCAAAAGGGAGAAATGTGGCAAGAGGGAGGTGCATCAAGCTGACCCTTGTTGGGACTGCCTTCCATCTAGAAATCTCTGTCCTCACTGTGAAAGACTATGTGGATCCAGAATAGGTCTCTATAACCATTTTCAGATGCACTGCCAAGACTCTACCCTTGGAAGACAATCATACTCGGTCACAAGTGGCAGCCTATGATCATGAAATATCTTTACATATCTTTTGTTGCTGCGGACCACCAAGAAGTAACGTTAAGATTTAAAATGTTAAAAGTGCATCAAATCGGGTTTTTTTTTAATTGTTCATCATGAGTCTTCAACTTTGGAGACAAGGGAGAAGTAAGTAAATGCACACATTCCTATTATAATATTTGTATTGGAATATGTCCATCAGTTCTAAAAGAAGAACAAGAATAGTAACATCTTAACACCAAGCCATGGTCTACTATAATTTGTTAATTTTAGTTAATTGATTAATTAATGAGAAGGCTGGTGCTGCATTCACCTAGAAGCTTTGTTACATCAGGTTTAAAAGCTGAAACCTGTCTTCTGAGCCCTGGCTATGTTTTTCAAGCAGTTCCTATACTTATTTTTAAGAGAAACCAGAACAGAGGATGATTTCTTCTACAAGTGTGCCATTATGAAAGGCATCAATACTTTCATAGCCCTCTTTGATAGTTCTGGAAAATCTGCTTGGAAGCAAGCCCAGAAATTTGGAAGGGAACTGTCCTTGAACTGCAATTTCAGAGCCCCATCCTTGGATATTTCAATGAACTTGTCTTCCTCTGTTGCAGTGAGCCCCTCTAGTTCATACACATCAACTGAAAATGGATATCTAAACCAGTTTTTGCTTGAATCAGGAACAGGAAAATATTCACAGAAACTACTGTGCAAATCTTTCAAATACCAAGCAATAAGTGATGTGTCCTCCTCAGGCAGCTCTTTACTGATGGAGACGAGTAAATTTGTGAGGTTTGGAAATGTCTCATAGTTTCAATAGACACTGATGCCAAAGCTCCAACTTTTTCATCATTGCTTTGATCCTGACTTCAACTTAAAAAACTATAACCTTTTCTCCTTCAAGATTTAAGCTGAACATATTTAAATGGATGAAGCTATCTGACAAATATGCAAATTTTAGGAACCAGGAAAAATCTGTCGAATGATCACTGAGCTGAAATAGCTGCTCCGTGAGAAACGCATCTCATCTCTCAATTTCCAAAAATGGGACAAAATTTTACCTCATAATAGCCAACGAACTTCATAGTGTAGCAAAAGTTGATGGTGCTCACCATCCATATCTTTGCAATAGGGCTCAGAAAATCTAAAATTCAGTTATTTGCTTTTTATAAAATAGACAATTTTTACTGTTTAATTTAAGGTCTGTTTTGTTCTGGTATCTTCTTAGCAAATAGAGCTTCCCTAGAAATGTAGCAATGGGATCAAATCATCAACAATATGACTTCTTTAATCTATGCTACAAGTCTAGTAAGCTTTTCAGACATTCCTTTTGCACTATCTGTGCTAATTCACAGAATCACAAAATTGGAAGAGACCACAAGAGCCATCCGGTCCAAACCCTTGCTATGAGGAAACATAGAGGAACTCCTGAAATAGCCATTCAGCTTCTGTATTAAGAAATATCCTTACTCCTTAATACTTTTGATGAGCAATATAGCTAAGAATGAAACAATAATTTGTCAATTCAATTTATTTATTGGATTTATATTCCATCTTTTTCTCAAAGTGGGTTTTTGTAGCAAGTAATTTAAGTTCTCCATCTAAGGCATATGATATTCCAGCTGTAAGTTGAGAAATTTCAAATGAAGCCATCACTGCATTTTCATTGCTACAACCAATTTCTGTCTATTTAAAACCACTTTCTTACTTTCCTGAGTCACCTGCTTTTTTTCTTTTTGAAAAAATAAACAGATGCTATTTGTGGTATGTTCTTTAGGTTGAGTATGAAAGTATCTTCACAATTTTGTTGGTTTCCTGGCTTTGTTGGATAATACATCACAATATTATGTGGTAACTACTTATGTTCTGAGCCTGTACATGTAAGGTAAGGGTAAAGGTTGTCCCCTGACATTAAGTCCAGTCATGTCCGACTCTGGGTGTTGGTGCTCATCTCCATTTCTAAGCCAAAGAGCTGGTGTTGTCTGTAGACACCTCCAAGGTCATGTGGCTGGCATGAGTGCACGGAGCGCCGTTACCTTCCCACCGGAGAGGTACCTATTGATCCACTCACATTTGCATGTTTTCGAACTGCTAGGTTGGCAGAAGCTGAGACTGTTAGAGGAAGCTCACGCCGCTCCCCGGATTCGAACCTACGACTATTCGGTCAACAAGTTCAGCAGTTTAACCCACTGTGCCACCGGGGGCTCCATGTAAAGCCAATCCATAAATAATAATGGTGGCACTTTTAAGATGACTGTAAGGAGCTTCATTTAGCTTTCAACAAGATGCTCCTCATCAATATCATCAATACTTTTGCATTTCAGATTTACACAGAGATCCATCCTGAGCCTCAGCCAAAATGTCTTATTACAAAATTCACAGAAACAACATCAAAAAATCAGTTTACTTGACAATAAGTGAACACTTTTATTTGCAGAAATCAAAGAAGAAACACTCTCAGTTTTCATTCTGAAGTTCATCTGAACATTCACTCACATTTACTAACTCTGATTCTCTCTTCTCGTGACAAGAGTCTTCCTTTCATACATGAATTTCTTTGATAATATACTTGAAACAACTGCAGAATTCTGGGATGCAATAGACATTCTGAGACAATAGTGGCACAATGTGGACAAGATTACTTCTGTGTTATGCACAGTAGCAAGAAAGGTCATGTGCGATTCAGCATTATGCATTTCCATGTTCTCAGAACATGCAAAAGTAGGAAGTGCTAAGAATTAAGGGTTTGTTTGTTTTTTGCTATGAAGATGTTTTTGTAACTTTTGAACCATTCAAGGGATTATAATGAAACTTTGTACAAATGATATCACTGGCAGATGATTCCTGCTCTTTGAAATCAATGTATGAGTCACTTGTCTGTCTGTTTGTCTGTCTTTATTTCTTCCGTCCAGTCTTTTGTTGGATTTTAAATGTAAAAGCTCATAACATTTCTTCAAGCTTTCCTGGATCCCATGAGGACAACATGGCTCTCTGGGGGGTCTGCAAACCACAACTTAAGAACCACTGACCTCAAACATTCAGAATGTTTTTGTTTACTTACAGGTTTCCCTTATCAGGTTGTTTTGTTTCATTCATGTACGTTGTTTACCTTGAATAAAAAGATTGCTGAAATATTTTGAACTGTTCTTTCCATGTTATTTCTATTTCTGGTACCAAAAAGTCTGGTGCAGAAGTATTGCACAGGAACACATCTAACTTTGTTAACTGAAGTATACCTGTATCTACTTGTGGGTACAATCTGGTTTAAACTATCCAGGGCTTTTTGGATAATGTTCTTGGTTGACTCTCCCCTTCTCTAACTTTCTTCTTTTGCTTAACAGGCCCACTAGACTATCCTAAATGTCATTATCCCACATACTTTCTATTGTTCTTAAAACAGACATGTTCATCTGAATGTGGGGAGTATGTTACAATTTTTTTTCATGTCAGGAGTGACTTGAGAAACTGGAAGTTGCTTCTGGTGTGAGAGAATTGGTCATCTGGAAGCACATTGCCCAGCAGATCCCCGGATGTTTTACCATCCTGTGGGAGGCTTCTCTCATATCCCCGCATGAGAAGCTGGTGCTGACAAATGGGAGCTCACCCTACTCCCGGATTCAAACTGCGGACCTTTCGGTCAGCAATTCTATTGGCACAAGGGTTTAACCCATTGCACCACTGAGGGCTCCACATGTTGCAAATGAGACTTGTTCAGCCACTTTAAGTCTCCAAAGAGACATGCGAGCGGGTGAAAAGTTGAATTTAAGTAGTCCCAAGAAAGATTCTGGAATTGAGTTTGTAATTCTTCAAACTCCACCCCAAAACAGGCATATTTTCCAAGATCCTCAACAGTCTCTTTCTCCAAAATTGAACTTCTTTTCACAGCCATGGTATTCTTGGCATCACAATAGGTACATGGGGAGCAGGAGGCTGGAAAATCCTTTTGCTTAATTATATTACATTTCTAAATTGTTGTGCAATCTTACATGGAATATGTCAGCACATTAGTATTTCTGAAGTCTAGTCAAGAAATAAATTGAAAGTACTTACGCAAATCCCACAAGTCCAAAAAACATTCATTTCCTTCATCAAAAAAGGCTTGTATATCTGATTCTAGTTTTTGCCTAAAACAAAAAAGCAGACAAAATAAACCAACCTGTTCAATAGCTAAAGACAGGAATAGAAAGTGGGGAAATCAAAAGTATCCACTAAGTTATTGAGATGAAATGTAGTTACTATTCTTCACTCCATTGATCTACAGAATATTTTATGTCTATTCCTCTTAAAAATGTTTCCTTTCTAATGCTAGAGCCACACAGTGAGTAGAAATCTAAACTGCCCACTGCTAATGTTTAAACTTTCTTCTATCTTCACCCCTTATTTTGACCCAATACATCTTTACCTCTATTGTCACTCATATTTCTGTTTTCCAGTCTAGTATTGTTCTTTGGACTTCTCATAACAGTGTGTATATCTATCTTGTATCATCTACCCAACACCAACTTTCTGTCTGAAACGGGGCATTGCCTTGTTCATTCATGCGCTCTCTTGTTCAGATATTTCATTAGGTTATCCCTGAATTAAATCTGGAGGCAGAGTAACTTCATAAATTCTCAAGTTCTTTAGATAACTTCTTGAAGATACATACATTTAGGGTTGAAGTGTCAAGAAATCACCCTCCCCTGATTTTTTCACATTTTTCATATTTTAGATTATTATGTGTGCCTTATGGTCACCCTCTAGACTTTTCTGTCCTCCTTTCTGTCCACCATGGAGTTCACACCAAATCAGTCAAAATCCTCTAGAACAGGGGCAGGAATTGGATGGTCCTCCAGATGTTGATGAATGTTAAGAAATGCTGGCGGTTTCAGTTTGAGCATCTAGATGGCAGATATGCACATTATATGCACATTTGATGGCTAAAAGCGAGAAAGAGCTGAGGAGCCTTCTAACCAAGGTAAAAGATGGAAGTGCAAAAGCTGGGTTGCGATTAAACATAAAAAAAACCAAGATTGTGGCAACCAGACTGATTGATAGGAGGGAGTGACAGACTTTGTACTTCTAGATGTAAAGATGACTGCAGATGCAGATTGCAGTCAGGAAATCAGAAGACGTTTACTTCTTGAGAGGAGAGCAATGACCAATCTCGATATAATAGTGAAGAGTAGAGATATCACACTAGTAATGAAGATCTGCATAGTTAAAGCACTGGTATTCCCCATAGCAACCTACGGATGTGAGAGCTGGACCATAAAGAAGGCTGAGCGAAGGAAGATAGACACTTTTGAACTGTGGTGCTGTAGGCTGTGAAATTTCTACCCATATTCTGTGGGTCCTTCAGAAAAAGAACCTTCAGTCAACTACTAGTGTTAACTGCCACTAAGATGAAGTCCTTCATTTCTAAGGTCTCAGATCTAGCTTACTCAGTCCAACTTGCTTCTACAATTACCAGCACCAAATTGCACTTGGATTCCCTCAAACACATAGATGCATTTAGGAGTGTAAAGACCTTTTTTTTTTCCTTCAAGGAACCATTTTGACTTTCCTGATTCCTTAAAGTAGCCCAATACGTTTTCTGTGTTAGTAGCATTCCAGAGCTCTAATGGCAGAATACTTGTTATGAAAGCCATTCTGTCTCTCTCTCTGCACAAGTGACATTTTAACTCACTCTTTGTCTTTGATTGGTATCCAATTCAGTTTTCTGTGAACATACATTGCTACCCATTCTGAGGCCAAGAGGCCCTCATTATCATTCTGACTTGATACTCTTTCTTCCATTTAACAGGCATTATTTTGCAAATCTCATATGTAGCTTCCATTACATGTTCAATTATCTTAATATCATATTTTCATAGACATTTCTTAAGTTACACGCCTTCATCTTGCAATTAATTTCTCAATTATTTTATCAACTTCTTACCTGCTTTCATGCAGTCTTTTGTGCTCTTTCCACCAAATCTGATTGTGCTGTTTCAGCAGCATTTGTTCTTTGTTAATTTTTGAAGCATGTTCTGTCTTTTTAACCTAGGTACAAGAGATTTTGATAAAAATGGAAATAAAATGTATTCTATAGATCTCTAAAATACTTAATTTTGAATATACCAAGTTTTATTGCCCTTTTTGGTCAGTGGTTTGTGACTAAGCAGAATCACCCCCAAATTAAGAGGCAGTTTGTTGCAGGAACAAAGGACATTTAAACACTGTCCAAATATATCTCATGCTGTACCAGTTGCTACCAACAGCTTTCCACATTAATTTGCCAGCTGCCACTGAAGCACTACAAAAAGGTCAAAAGGATCACTTATCTGGCCCACAATATATGTGCAGAAAACAAGAAAAGGAAGTATTACCAATTTTCTCATCAAAGTTAAGGAGTATTCTTTTTCAGATTGCAAATGTACATCTAATAATTCAACAAAACATTTTTTACAACAGTATTACTCAAACTCATGATACATACACTAGTACTGCTCCAATATCTGTTGGAGCCTAGCAAATTTCCAGAAAAGATGGAAACAGTTGTAGCCAAAAGACACAAATGTGATACTGCTTCCCGGCATGTTGTATGGAGTGGTGACTGCTCATCTTCCACATCAGATAGCGTGAGATTCACTGCCATGCAGTACAATAAACATATGAATTATTAATATAATACCCACAACAGAGATACATTTGTTCCTACATACTTCTATGGAGAACTATAGAAAGATATTGGTATTGATTGTTTTAACAGGCCTCTATGAGATATGGTAATTTTGAATTTGCCTTTGAATTTTGATCTTCTATACTTGGCTCTGTTTCTTACTGCAGTTTTCCTCTTACTGTTTTTAATATATATATTATAAAGCCCTAAACCCAGTTTACCTGTCCGAACGTATTCTCCCCTATGAACCATCTAGATTGTTAAGATCATCTGGAGGGATCATGCTCTCGGTCCCATCGGCCTTACAGGCACGTCTGGTGGGGACGAGGGACAGGGTCTTCTCGGTGGTGGCCCCTCGGCTCTGGAACTCTCTCCCACTGGAGATCAGAACTGGCCCTTCTATCTTGACATTCAGAAAACAGGTGAAAACTTGGCTCTGGAAATTGGCATTCGATGAGTGAGTCAATATTCTGAGATATGGATGGATGATGACGAATGACGAACAACGATTTTATTGTGATGACTGACCATTGTAATTATTTGACTGCATTTTGCTATTTTAATGTTTTTAGTTTAATATGTAATATGATGTTTTTTAATGACTGTTTGTGATATTACTGTTAGAAACCGGCCTGAGTCCCTCGACAGAGGTGAGAAGACCGGTATACAAAACTGCTAAATAAATAAATAAATAAATAAATAAGAAAAATAAACAATGCAGAAAACTTTAAAATTAAGGAGGGTTTGACATCATTCTACACATTGCCATACGACTGTGCCAAACAGATTTGGCGAGGACGTGGGACAGAGTCTTCTCAATGGCTACTTCCAGAGTGTGGAATCCCAAGGGCTTTGAATGTTGACTGTCTAAGGTCTTTGAATAGGTACTTGCTGAATTTGTATTACTACGTTTATGATGTTATAGATTATCTGCCTTTTAAAAGCTGTTTTAATACTGTAGCAAAACATAACAAAATCCACAAAACAGCAATATTTTTATTTGGCCAGCCATATTAATCTTAGGTAGTGTTTCAAATAGGTGATAAGGGAAGTGTCCATAGGTTTGGGAGGTGCATGGTGGAGATGCAAATGGAAGAGAGACGCGTGTTAACAAGATGCTAGAAAAATTGCATGAAGGCCTTCAACAGAACAGGAACTTCTTCAGATACACAGCTTCCCACTTGAGCAAACCAATGCTGGGCTTGGAGTGCAGGGAGCTAGAGATCATGGGCATTGTAGTTTTACAGAGTCTTTAGCTATCTCTACTAGTATTGGTGCCTCACCAAATAACAAATCCCAGAACTGCATAGCATTGAGTTGTGGTAGTTAACGTGGCATCAAACTGCATTAATTCTACAGTGTAGATGCAACCCTAAATATTTCCATTCTTATGTATTGACAAAAAGACCTGTTGCACATGTGGAAACAGCTATGGATACAGAGTAAGAGAACCAATGCTGACAACTATATTTCAGAAACTCAACATGAGATCACAAATTTTTCTGTACTGATTCTACACAGACAGAATATTCAGAATTGCCTGATAGAAGTAATTCATCACATGTTTTAATACGGAGTTTTAAAGAAGCCTTCCCCTTGTTACATTTCAACAACTTCATGAAGCTTGTTGTCAGTAAACAAGGACCATCAATATTCATATACCAGTTTTTAAGCCTTGTTTGCATGAATGGAAAAATTCTTACTTTCATCTTTAGAGCCATCAACATTTTGCCACTCTTCACTGCTCTGTTACAGCTTAGAAAACACAACTTCAGTATTTCTATTATTGGGTTATATGAAAACCTATCTTCATCACTGAACAGCATTATAATAAATAGGTTTTACCGTTCCCTTGACTGGAAAAGACTTGTGAAAAATGAAATACTAAAAGGAATAAGACTAAAAGTCTGAAAGATCAAATGAACCTAGCTGAATTCAGTTCTGTCAGTCCATCGATAAATAGTATCTGCCAATTCCTTTGATAAATTGTACTTGCATTATTAAAAGAAAAATAAAACATGCAGGAAATATTCTTTCTACTCCTTCACTGGTGCATTTTTGGTTAATGTAGCTTCTCCCTTTGTAAGATCCTATCTTTTTGTTTTAATGATGTGGAACAACAAAAAAAAGCAGTACAGTGAAAATATTGTATGTTCAAATGCTGTGTACTTTTCTCCTTCTTTTTCCTATTATTATTTTAATTCAATATAAAAAAAATTAAATCCTGTAGGGGTGCTTACTGGTTCTTGGCAGTACCAGCAAAAGACATTCTGATGGTTTTCTTATTCCTTAATGATTTTTTGTGCACAGAAGAAGCAGCGGGAGAACCCAGGAGGGTTCCACATAGAGAACAATGGAATCTAGAGCCACCATCCACAAATTCTGTGGATAAGACAAGGCCACTGCACAATGAAAGCTTTTCTCTGAAAGCAACCACAAACGCTGTGTGTGTGTGTGTATTCTCATAGGCACATCTTCCCATGTGTGTGCTTAACCACTATTTTAATTTCAGCCTAGTCTTCCCAGTGCACAGAGAGGCAGAAGCACAAGTTGTATAACTATATATTTCCAGAACAGCACACTCCCGCACACCATACCAATGGCATTTAATTGGAAAACATTATGTGGAAGCAACTGACAACCGGCAAGATGTGCTAATGCATTTGGCATGCAGGCCTCTCTGTGGGTAAGAACTGGGAAATAACTTAAGAGAGAAACAGCTGTTTGTGGGATGCTCATTCAAAGCCGCCCTAAGCTGTTTCCTTCTCTCTGGAAATTTCAAGCAGTGCTGATCTGGCATTTGAGCTCAAAGAAACATAAGAAATGCCTGTGCTAAGGTCTTTCTGTCCCTATTAGAAGCAGGTACTGCATTGGCAAAAGGGCTAACGCTGCTGATTTGGCATGTGAAATACATTGACTGTAGGGCAGTCAAGGAAGGGGATGGTGGCAATGTTGGAAGGAAACAACATAACCTGGCAGGAAGGCTTCAAGAACTCTAGCAGCCAGCAAGAAGAGTTTGTTAAGACACATCTAATCTGGACAGCTATCTCTCTGCCATTCCAATAAAACAGCAAGTTACATCACCCTGCTTTCTCTGGTGATGCGTATCACACTGTCTTGGAGTTCCCCATCATCTTTGGACATTACTTTTTCCTTCTCTCCCTGTACATTCAAGGTTACATCAATAGAATTCAACACCACATTTGAGTCTCCACATCTTGTAATTGCCTAGCAGGAGTACAACATGCGGAGCCATTCCTCTGCCAAAGGATCATGAGAAATAACTGTAAACAAAGGACCCGTCTTGTATTAACCCTGAGAGACAACCACATGATCAACAGTTGCTTTGTTCTATGAATTGAAAAGGGCAAATATAGGGCGAGCATCCCTTACCCAAAATGCTTAGGATCAGAAGAGCTTTGGATTTTGAAATATATGCGTATACGTACATAATGAGATATCCTGGAGATGAGACTCAAAACTAAACCTAAAATTAATTTGTGTTTCATTGATAACTTATACATATAGCCTGAAGGTAATTTTATAGCCAATATTTGCAATAATTTTGTGCATGAAACAAAGTTTGTGTGCATTGAGCCATCAGAAAGAAAATCTGTACCTACCGCAACTACATATGAGAACAATTTTGGAGCATTTAGGATTTCAAGATAAGGGATTCTTAGTCTGTATTTTTAAAAGTGTACTGAATCCCCACTCCAATTCCCCCTTCTCAATAATTTGTTTGATTATTCATGTGGGTAACGGAACAGGGAAAGACATAAGGGATCTCTGGCATATGCCAACAAGAAATTATTAAAATAGCTTCCTAAAGTATCATGGGTACCTCTAAAAAAAACTGACTGATTATATATATTTTATTTCCTGCCTTTTCCCAGTGCTTCTGTGTTATATGGATTAAGCTTCAATATGTTTGCCCTCATTCAGTCTACAACTGAAACAGTTTCCTTGGATTTAAAAAGGAGGAACAGAGTTGATTCGCAATGCCAAAACTCTGGAAAACTATTGGGAGGTTCAGTACACCCAAAAGACACACACACACTCTCCTGTTCTTCATGTAAGCCAGGGATGAGCAACTGTGGCAGGTCCCCAGGACCTTGGAGGGTCAAACCTCTCTACTGCTTCTTCTCCAGCAAACAAAAGGAATGTGGCAGGCATTTCCCATCCAGTTTTGAGGTGTTCCTGGACAATAAAGTACAGGAGAGGCAATTTTAACAACAGGGCATGAATGGAAGTCTTTCCTGTTCAGTTCCTCTTTCAATAAAGGTCTTTTCCAGGCTTAAATAGTTCAAGGAGGCTAAAAATAGAACAGAAGAACACCCATAATCACCACTGCCTTAGTGGAAATTTTGAGTCATTTCAGGATAAAACAGATTGTTAACATTTTTGCAGAAAATTGTTTTTGATGGGGGAAGGGGGCCTTCAAACATGGTAAAAATGCCCTTCTCACTGCCTGTGAATATGCAGGTATTTCAGAGCAAAAGGAAAAACTCATGTGTGGGGGTGATGGGTTTACACTTTGGCTATCCCTGTGTAAGTCATCAATCAATATTACCAAAGAAGTCTCTATCCTATAATACATCCTGAAATTCAAAGCAAAATGAATGTCTATAAACCTATATAGAGCTGAGAGGCTACCACATATTCCAATGCTTTGTTGAGAAATTGGCAATTGTCCAGTATGGTGGGATTCACTGTGGGCTTTTCCAGCAAGTGTTACAGGTGTCTCTTCTCAGCATACTGGGGTCCTGTTTTGCTATAAAGAGGCACTTATCTCTTTATTTACCCACTAAGCCACACCCGCAATGAGCCAGAAATGGCAACAGTCTGGTGAACATGTGATGACTCTCACTTCTTCAAGGATCCCACTCATATTCTTCGGCTGTTCAAGCTGAAAAGTATCCATTTTCACTGGACAAGGAGCAGCCATTTACATCCACTAGACCCATACTAACTGTAGCCACCAGGGCAGAATCCATTTAAATAATTTTATTTGCAAAATCCTGGGCAAACTATTCACAGCAGGCTGTTGAGTTGTGTGATGTTTTCTTCCATGGGGCAGTGTGTAAAAACCCACTGACCAAAGTGTGTTTCTACTGACAAAAAGAGAATATCCAGCAAATGAGCTCCTCCTCTGTTCTTGCTTGTGGAGAAGGAAAAAATAATTTGTTCTTTGTCTGCCTCAGCAGAGGAATAGCAAAACAAAGCAAGCAAATTAAATTTCCAGGAGTCCTAGTTTTAGCACACTCACAACAAACAAATACTGCTGATGCGGTCAACATCATGAAGGAAGGTTGCTCTTATTTTTATATCAATTACGTTTACGCCAGATCATATGGCACCCTCTGCATCACAAGTGAGAACTATAATCTGTATTTCATTGTAGAATTATTATTACAAATGGACGCAGTATATGAAGTCCCAGACACATCAAAAAGCCCTTAGAATACAGGACCAACACTATTGTTTGGAAGAATGATGTACCTGCTTCAACTGGTTTCAGGAACCCTACAAAGGTTAAAATGATTAGTTTATGGTTGCTTTATCTTTTGTCGGTCAGGAAGTAGGAAAGACACATATGCTGTCTCCTGACTCAGGTGCCCTAATAACCTGACTGTGTAAATGTCAGGTTAGTTATTGTACACTTTAGCTTTAGAAGGTTTTGATCTGCTTCTCCACTACAGGCAGCAAAAGGTCTGTCTGCCAATACATCTCCAACTCACACAAGCTTTCACGTATCTTCTTGGTGCCACTGGTAGCCCAAATGACACCTAGAGATTGTGATGGGGCCAGAACTTGTTTAAATTCCAGAATTCATCAGGAAGTTGATAAACAAATCTTGCAAGCTCTGGTTGCAACGTGGACTGCAAGTTGTGTATCTTACAGTGTGTATCTTACAGTGGCAGGGGTCCTTTATGTACACCCCTATAAATTGAAAATACCTATCACATGAGCAAGTTGTTTCAATGTGTTACATGTTGTATTTATAGAAAATAAGCTCTCTGGGTGGATAGTGGTCACTCTGGGACTGTTACATCAGCTGGTGGTGAGAGAGCCAACTGAAGAACTGGGTAGCAGTGTAAGATTGCCTTCTCCCGTACAATTCGCTCTGCGCACTTAGGTCTTCTGGGGGGCGGCTACTCTAACCAACCAAAACTCGACTAGCCACCGTCACCCAGAGGATCCAAGACTGCGGAATGGTCTCTTGTCTGTGTATCTTCCCTGCTATTTGTCATATTTTTAAGTCTAAATGTTACATTATATAGCGGGCTGCTAATGTGGTAAAGTAGCACCTCTCCTCCTTGCTGCCCCTCTTTCAGATTGGTTTCAGGGGTCTCCTATCCTTTATGAACAAATTGGGAAGGGCATAAGGTACTGTCATTGGTGAGGATATGCAACAGCACAGGCAGTCTCTGAGTTACAAACATCCGACTTACAAACAAAACTCATAGTTTAGAACGAGGAACATGAAGTGAGATAAATCTGTCCCTTGGGAGAGAAATTCACTCCTGAAACACTTATCATAGGGAAAAAAGGTGTCCACTTAAGCTTTCTCACCCATCCTTGTTTCCACAACATGGCAATTTTTTCAAAATCCAATTCTCCCAAGGACAGAAAGTGAGGTGAAATCTTCTGAACAGCTGCACAGGTAGCAAAACAAACACCACAGGGGTGTTAACACTTCCCTATGTTATTGAATGCCCCCCCCCCCCCCCCCCCTCTCTTTCTGGAGTTACTCTTACTAAATGTACTCGGGGATTGCCTGTTTCTGATCTATGGGCAAGTAGACACAAACGTGTGCAACCATAAGGCTAGACATTAACTCTCACTGAATAAAACAAATGTACTACATGGCATGCTATGTTTTGCAGTTCTATAAATTGCTTTGAATAGAACCAAATTAACTACCTAGAAGCATCCATAAACTGCATATGAAACAAATATAGACATTACAGTATTAACTAATGACAAGAGCAGTTTAGAACTCAAATTAATTCTTTTAAAAGTTTTTAAAAAGCTTACAAAGTTAAATTGATTAAATAATACTGCTAATATCTAGCAATGAGTACTCAGTTCCCTTTTCTTTGGCACACTGACTTATGACTAGCAGGTTCTTCTCTATAATCTTAACCAGATTTTATGATATCTTTTTCCTCAGCAGTAAAAGTCACCTTTTATAGTCATTAGAGTTCACTAATGCTTACCTTTAGTAGGATTTTTGCAGATTCCAACTTCTTGGCTTCAGTAATTGCAAGTAGTTTTGCATAATCAACAGGTTTATACTTTGGACTCTTCAGACCATTTTTCACACGAACAACCAGGCTATCTAGTTGAGGCATGAATATTTTAAATAAATGAATAAAACCATTTTTACCAGTTAATACACATTTAAACTATAATTAGAACAAAACCAAAAACACTCTCTTTTTCATTAATTCCATTACAATTACAAAACAACTGGCAATAGTGGTGGTGATGGTGGTGGGGAAACAGGACAGGGGACACAACCCTTAACAGCAAGTCCATCAGTAAATTTATTTTTTAAAATTGTATGACTAAATGTTTTGTGCAAGTGTTTATCTTAACCACTCAACATTTTAGTTCCAGTGTCAGATCCTTAATGCTTTTGTTTGCTTTTATTTAATTTAAAAATGTATATGATGTGATTTTGTTGTTATCCAAAGTTTCAGGTAGTCATAGTGGGTGCTAGAACACATCACCCACAAATATGGGGGTCATACTGTACTGCTTCCCTTGAGTTGAGGTGATATACTTGTAACACAAGTATATCACTTGCAGATGTTGTTGGCTGGGAAGAGAGTTCAGATAAGTAAGGGGGTGTAGGTGTCATATCACTGATGTAAACTGTTAGTTTCTGGGCAAATACCAAGCGTTGGCTATAACCTTTAAAGCCCTGCATGGTTTGGGTCCAGGTTATCTACAGGATTGTCTTCTACTGTATAATCCACCCCTTAGGACACTTCGGTCTCCTGAGAGACGTTTACTCCAATTAACCAGTACCCGACTGTGACCATCACCCAGAGGACCTATTCATCGGGTGCCCCAAGACTGTGGAATGACCAGCCAGAAGAGCTCTGATAGCTAAACAAGCTGACAGAATTTAAGGCACAACTTAAGACCTATCTCTTCTGGCAGGCCTACCCAATCCACTTTGAACCATAGGGTTTTGGATTTGCATTCTACTGCTGTATTTTGATCTTTGTGCCATGTTTTGGCATATGTATTTGTTGTATATATTTTATGTTGATATGTTTTGTCTGTGTTGTACCCTGCCTATGTTGTTGTTGTTGTTGTTGTTATTATTTAGCCCTAACTTCATAGGGACCATCACAATCCTTAGTGGCTTGCAGATCCATATAAAGGAATGATAACTGAATGAGATACAGTGGGCATAACCAAGATAGAAACAAAAAAAATTAAAAGAGAGATGTAAAAGTGATAGCAGTCCTGGAAATACATCATCTGTCACCAGTGGAAACAAAAGCAGGGCATGTGTTTTGCTGGGCATGTGTTGGACATACATTGAAGCACATCTCAAAAAGTTTACTGAAAACCCGTTGTGCAACGGTAGACTTGATTATGACAAAGAACATTAATACCAGCACATCTACATAAGAAAACCCTAGTTCAGGGGTCCTCAAACTAAGGCCCGGGGGCCGGATGCGGCTCTCCAAGGTCATTTACCTGGCCCTCGCTCAGGGTCAACCTAAGTCTGAAACTACATGAAAGCACACAACAACAACAACAACCTTATCTCATCAGCCAAAAGTAGGCCCAAACTTCCCATTGAAATACTAATAAGTTTATATTTGTTAAAATTGTTTTTCATTTCAATTATTGTATTGTTTTTATGTGTCTTTTTCACTACAAATAAGATATGTGCAGTGTGCATAGGAATTCATTCATATATTTTTTTCAAATTATAATCCGGCCCTCCAACAGTTTGAGGGACTGTGAGCTGGCCCTCTGTTTAAAAAGTTTGAGGACCCCTGCCCTAGTTACTATAGAGGCAAAATATAAAGCTTCATGATATTCCATTTAATTTACCAGCTGATATTTTGTCAAGAGTATATGGCGAGAGTGCATAGAAATGAGTGTTTTTAAACTCTGTGGACTTCATTTTAACTGAGCCAATAAAGTAATATTAGCTCACTTTTGGTGCAGAGCCAATTTGCAAGGCTAAAATCCTGAAGACAACACCCTCCAAATGTACTATTATGGGGCTTCTTTTCACAGGGTTTCTCTTCTTATGCCACCTTGTACCTTCATGGTCATTTAGTAGTTGGAGAACAGTAAGGGAAATTCAAACAACACCCAGCTGCAATTCTTCAACATGGAGAAAAAAGTAGATTTTGTCCTCCAGGTGATGTCTGTTGTCTTGGTGACATCTCTTTTATCTGGGCTGTAGGTCTAGAGCTGGGAAATTGCTTGCACACTACTCACCATCCCCACAAACAACAAGAAATTGCTTGTGAAGTGTAGTAAAAGCAACGGAGAAAAGGGAACCAAATATCTCCTTTCGTAAATTTAATTTTTGAGTATAACTTCTGGTTTTACCCAGTACGTTGCCAACAGGTTCCCTTATATTACCCAGGAGTTAGCCTTATTGAACCCCTTATTGAACTTTCTAAGTAAACAAGTTCAAGGCTGGTTGTTTATCTCCTGCTCTTATTACTGTCTAAAAAAGTGGAATAAAGCTTAGAATGGCTCCACATCTTAAACTACAGTTCATAACATTGAGCTTGTTTGAGAAGAATACTGACAAACAGGGCTTTTGGCAAATGTCTGTCTCTACCAGAGATAGAAATAAGTATGGTCATTGAAAAAAGTGATTTTCTACTCACAAAAATAAAAACTTCATGGAAGTATAATTTATTAGGTGTGTAAGAAATTATAAGGGAGGAAACCATGGAAGATAATGATATAATAAACCCTACAAACATAACATAGTCCCCAAGCAATTTATATAATTGGTTAATACTGTAATAAAGCAGGCTATGGAACAAATAAGGAAATGGAAAGTTAATAAAGAAAAAATGTGTTTACCTATATCACTACTCTTATTTGAGGTAATAAATCCTGGAAGTTCTCTTCCACTCATCTTTCACCTGTTGAACAGTCAACATATATGAACATCAATATTACAACAGTAATATGATTTTTGTAATGGCAGTTATTTCAATAGGGAGTTCACTGTTGATAGAAATGCTTATTGTTGTAATGAGGCAGTATCAAGGATAAATGTTATAGCTGCACTGAAATAACAGCCTTTACTCAGATTTTTTTTATGGCACAATGATTATTAAAAATACAGTAGAGTCTCACTTACCCAACCTTTGCTTATCCAATCTTCCGTATTATCCAACACTCTTATCCAACGCCCCCCCCTTCCCTTTTCATCCAACATTTCCACATATCGCCTTTAGAGACCATGTTTTTAGTTTCCTTCTTTCTTCCCCATTTTGGCCAGTACCACTGTGCAGATTCCAAAGGAGGAGCCAGAGCATAATGGCTCTGCCACTCTTCTCCTCACCTCCACGCACAACAATGGTTCAATCCAAGTTGGAAAGAAGGGTCGTGGCTACGTGGGAGTTTGTAGGAAATATGGGAAGATAGAAGAATGAAGGTGGGCAGTGGTCTTGAGGGTTTGTGTAAGTGTACTATCTACCTTTTCATAACAATTCCTTGTTTCTTGCTCTTTTTTCCATCAGTGGTGAGTTCTCTCATTGTGTCTGAAAAACCAAACAGAAGAACTTACTCACCACTGATCTCTGCCAGAATAGAGATATGAACTTCAACTTCCAGAAAACTCCGTATTATCCGACATTTCTATTTTTGCAACTTGCTAATTGAAGAGTTTGGTGCTAACCTGATTTGGATGCAAGATAATTCAGAATAACTTGAACAGTATATCTAAATCACTTAAATCACTTAAATTCCACACATATTGGAATGGAAGATGAAAAATGTATCTTGGTTGAGGAATGGAAAAGTGCTTTTCTCTCTCTCTCTCCCCCCCCCCCCCCCCCCGCACTATCTTTTTTTGAGTCTACAACTGTGTCCTCTGTGTGGGGGAGAAGCCAGACACAGTAGACTATTATTTCCCTTACCTTGGAAAGTATGGTCCCATTCAGGGAGAGTGCACAGTCAAAAACACAGGTCTTAAGGAAACAGTCAAAAGAATAAATGATGACACCCACCCCCCACCCCCACCACAAAAAATAGCTCTTCTGCTCCCTCCTCAAAGACTGAGCTACCATGTCCTACCTGCCTACCTGTAGCAAAGGAGTTCAGGTCAAAAGAGAGGACCTCCCCAGTGGCTGCATCCAAGTTATGGAATGGGAAAACCATTTATCCCTTTTACTTACTGTTTTTCCTTAGATCATTTAAGACTTTCCATCTCACTGGGCAGATGATTTTACAGAGTAGACCAGTGTTAAATCTGTGTCCTCTTTCCTGTGATATGTAAGTACCCAGAAGGAACATGACCACCACTCATTTCCATTTTTTAATATATTTAAATTTTTAGCGACGTCCTCACTGCCAAGCACAAAGACTGAGGTAAAAATAATTAGCTAGGTGCTAAAAATATTGAGCCAGATACAAGAAATAATCTTTGGTCAGACTAGTTTAAAGATGGGCAGATGGCAAACCAGATCCATTATGATTCTGGAAGTTCAAAGGTAGAGCCAAATCAACAGACGCTGCATGCTGCTATGCAGCAGGTTGTCTTTGCATGCTAGTAAGCAGACTCAAGTAGAAAATGTGTGCTATAATTAATCTTAACTCTGCTAAAAGCATCTTTAAAATCCTATTTGTCTGGGAAGAGCACAAAGCCACAGGGACAATGAGCTCCGGAATTCCTTAAAAAGATTAGATGGGGTACATTGTGACACTCTATGTAATCTCTGGGTCCTTTCTTACGCTTTAGTCGCTGGAAAGCACCTCCGTGACAATTTAACAATGGAAACTGTGGAAGACTTTCTGCTGACATGTGTGCGTACAGGATCCAGGATCCAGTCTCTGTAGGCAGCAGGAAAAGAATTGTAAACCTTGGAGTGCTCCCTCCATTATGTTCTGAGTCAAAAAGACAAACAAAAACACTCGGTTTCACTAGGCACTGCTTAACATACTCTAATGCAAATATTTTGAACAAAGATTGAGTTTTTTTGCTTTCATTTTATAACAGCACAGGCTGAGCATCAGAGCTGTGATTCAGCAACACAAATAGCAAGAAAGCTGTTGTCATTCTTGCAAGCACATAAGAAGTCATATGGCAGACTGCAATTTACACTCGCTTTCAAATTAGTGTTTCTCTTGACCAGGTCTGTCCCTAGACTTTTTGTTGCTTGAGGTGGTGAAGGATATCCCACCTACTTTTTGTTGAACACAATATCATAAGCTCAACAAAACAATTTCATGTTTGAGACAGATAATCCCAATATGCAACCTTCCTATTCCACTTGAAAACAATTATCATAAATTAATCAGTCATTTGCTGCCTTTTTATGATTCTCATAATCATCCGTGCAATGATGATAGCCTCAGTCTGCCTAATAGTAGGGCCAAAGTCCAATTCTGCTATTGCCACCCATGCTGTTCAACTGCTTTAACTGAGACTTTTCAGATTAATTTTCTGCTTTTCCACTTTTCAGTTGCTTTGTAAATGTTTCAGTTTCTCTTACCTCCTCCCACTTCCTCCCCTTTGGTCCTCAGTTTACTTCAATTCTTGTAAACTGGGTTCAATGCACCAACATAATTTACCCTCAGTTAACTCAAGGACGGAGAGAAAGGAGGCAGAATCATGCCCTGCCTAGCAGACCCAAAGAAAAGCAAATTGCAGCAGCCTCTCTAAGCTTCACTCTTTATCTCCATTAACAACTTTTGCCATCATGACCAGGCTGTGTGGTATTGCTTTGTCCCATGTGTCAGGGTTTTCACCTATAAATTGCTGGAGGTTGTGCCATTCCTTACATAGCTCTTCTGCTCCCTCCTCAAAGACTGAGCTACCATGTCCTACCTGCCTACCTGCCTTACAAGATTCCCATTTTTCATAGCAGGCCAGAACAAAACAGTACAGAGGATTCATGGAAGCCACTAAAATTAGCAGACCTTGTCTTCTCTTCTCTTCTCACTTAGTAACCATTTTTCTCTTTTCCAGTACAAGGAATCACCAAGTCACAAACAAACTAGGTTCTGTAGATTTGTTCTTAAGTTGAATTTGTATGTAAGTCAAAACAGGTACATTTTTAAGTGTAACTCCAGCCACACACATGCTTTGGGTAGCATAAGGAAAGGTTAACCCCTGTGGTGTTTGTTCAGCTGTGTATACCCCTGTTCAGAAGGTTTCACCTCACTTTTTGTCCCTGTTACAATTGGATTTTGAAAATTTTGTCTTGTTGTGGAAAGAAGGATGGGTGAGAAAGTGTCAGTGGAGACATCTTTTCCCCATGAAAACTCTTTCAGGAATAAATTGCCCTTCCTAAGGGTAGATTTCTCTCACTTATTGTTGTCTCATCCCCATTCTTAACTATGAGTTGTTCGTAAGTTAAATATTTGAACCATGAGGCCTGCTTGTAAGATCTAGTATAAAGTTGGCAATTGTCAAAGTGCCACTTCTGCCTCTCCCAAATATGGAAACAAATTTTCCCACAAATGCCCAGGTTGTATCCTGTTGTGAAGCCGTCTCTCTTTGGCTTAAAATAACTGTCAGGACAAAAACAAAAAACAAAAACCCTCACCTGCATTGGGGAACACTAAGGACAAAATAATATGACTCTATTGGTCGCAAAATGTGCAGCCATTATTCAATCTGCCTGGTTTGTAAGCAACTTGTCTGCCTGATTATGAACTATTTCATCTCATTTTCACACAACCCAAATACAGCAGTGCTACTTCAATAGCTATGCCTGTGTCCTATAGAATCCTGGGATTTGTAGTTTTGTGAGGTTTTAGCAGAATATTCTAAATACTAAAAATTACAATTATAGAATTCCTAGGATGACACCACGGCAGTTAACAGTTGCATCAAAGTGCTGTAACTATGTAATAGGAAAGAAACCTCAGTATTTTTAGTCACTGAATTAAGTTGCATCAATAATTCACACACTTAGAGGAGAAATGCATTGGTCCATTTTAAAGCCATTGCTTTGATCTCCCTAGATAGAAAATTATTGCTGCTCCATTTAAAAAGACACCTACTAAAGTCCAGGAGTTTTATATATGGTTGCATCATAGCAAAGCTTTTTCTTTGAATGCTGGCAGCAAAGGCAAGAGTTTGTTATCTTTTGTTGTTATTGTTGTTGTGTGCCTTCATGTCATTTCCATTGTATGGTGAACCAGGGGTTTTCTTGCTAAGATATGATCTGAGGCTGTGAGTGTGTGACTTGCCCAAGCTCATACAAAGGCTTGGTCACCAGAGTCATAGTCCAATGCCCAAGCCACTATACCACACGGGATTTCCAATATTTCTTAGTGAAGTCTACTTATATTAAAAGTATAATAGAGACCAGTGCAGTCACCCAGTGTGTTGGGTTTCTGTCAGAAAATGAATGGAATTATAAAGTTGACTTTAGCAGCTATGCCTTTTATGTTGGGAGGTGAAGTGAACACAAACATTGGAGGGTGAAGTGAACCCAAAACAAAATTGGCAAAAGTATGATAGCTGGGACTCTACACTACTCTAGTTGCGCAATGCAGCTCAGAATTAATGAAGGGAAGACATGCGCAAGACAGCAGAGTGAGTGAGAGTTGCAGCTGCGACAGGATAGCAGTGAAGTAATTTAATTCAGGTGGGAGAGGATAAGAGTGACGTAATGTAAGACTTATTTAATGTGTTAAATGATCAACAACGGCTTACGAAGATAGTAAACGGGAGAGAATGTTCTCTCTCCCCCTTTCTGGTGAACAATGTTGCCATGACTCTGATGCAGCTACATCTCTCACTCGCTGCGCTGTCTCACACACGTGTTTCCCTCATTAATTCAGACCCATGTTGCGCAACCAGCATAGGGTCCCAGCTATCATACTTTTGCCACAAAATTTAGCATATGAACTGCAGGTAAAAACAAACTGATTTTCATGGGGCTTTCTTAAGCAAGGAAAATTC